ACTATATACAGAGGATGGTGAATAGAGAGAAGACGATCTTTGCTTTAGGATAGATTTCGGTTTTTTACTCGCGTCACCGGAATAGCTTCTCAGCGATTCTGGTACATCGGATAAACTTGCTAAATCCGAAACATCGTCAAAACCGCCATGCGTCTGGAAAGTTATGCAGGTTTTGAAGTATCTTATAATTTACAGTAAAAATGCTATAAGATTTCTTAAAAAGGATTTTAAAAACTTTTTAGGAATAAACAAATATCACTGAGTTGGAGAGCTGGAAAACATGCACGGGTGAACAGTTAGAACTTGATCGCTACACCCCGGAAGATGAACGGTAAAGCGATCTGTCCGAAAACTGGCAGCCATGGAAAACTGAACGATAATGAGAAAGACCGGTGTCCCAGTTCCGTGAATGAAGTTCATTCGGATGTATCGATCATAGTGTAGGTTCCAAATACAGAAACAAGCAAAAACCACTGAAATTCCCACATTACCAGGTTGGCTCGGATTGTTAACGCACTGAAGGCAATGAGATGCATTCGCATTCCAGGGTACAGCTGCATTAGGCTCTTCTATCCTAAGCTTCACGTCTCCGGTGTACATTCACTAGCTTTACTAAGATATGCACACTGCCTTTGAAAGGCCATTCTTGCAGTGCTTCGTCGATGATGGGAGTTGCGTAGCAGCGTGTAGTACTTGCACAAAAACAAACAAACATTCTGACGACCTTCAAAGCGGATACATTGAACAGGAGAAAGGCATTGGCTGGTGACATGCAAATCAAGCTCGAAAGGCCTGGCACGGCTATGCTGAGTGTGCGAATGCATCCCGGTAATATTATTAATATATCAGGATCTTCACACAGTTTGTCTGCGTTGTCTTAGTAATTTTGGTAATTACCAGTCGGCTGTGGCTACTACGCTTTGGCTCATTTTGTTGTGTACTGCTTGTTCGCCGCGAATATGGATCCGTAATTTGTACAGTAATTACTGATAGCCGGGGTTTGTTGGTTTTCTCATCATGCAAGGACGAGACCGGTGTTCCTTTCATTTCGTCTGGATAGTTCAAGCCGTTTTCTGGATTTCTTGACAAAAGCGGCGGCTGTAATTATTCCACTTTAATATCAAAATAATTTTTGAAATTCAGCCCAATGTAACATTTTTGAATGCGCTAATACCTGAACTCCAGAAGATCCGCCTCGGTCCGAAAACCTGGATGCTTCCGATTGTGAATTGCTCACGTTTTTCGACGATGATTGACGAACTGCCGCGACCAAATTGTCACTGTTGCTGCCTTCGGCAAGTTCCAAATCCTGAAAGTAATACAGACCAGTTTGAAGAAATAATCGGAAGAATTTGGATAATTTTGATAACCAAATGTTTGTGAAACGAATGCTAAATACTGTTTATGCTACAACATTAGGCATTTGCGATAATTTGCAAGCGACCCCAAAACATACGCAGAGACCAAAAGTGTAGCAACCTTAAGTCATATTTCCTCAAAAGTGCCTTTCACGGAATCAGAAATCACATGACAATTAGCTATTCACTGCAGTTTTTACGGTTCAAGTTAATTATAAACATATAAATATTTCTGCAATATGTTTGATCAATATATCACTTTTTGATGTCCCATTCAAATTTATTATTTTATCTGATTATATTTTTCGAAAAAAATTAGAGCCGCAGCTGAAAAATACTAAATATAAAGACAAAAAGTCAAAAACGACAATACATTTTAAACCTTATGAGGAAATAAAGCACTTAAAAGTAGTATATTTTAGCCACAATAAGTAAAGACTGAAAAGATTATTGGCGGTTCCTTTTTTCGAGGATCATTAAAAACAAGACGAAGACAGCTAAAGTCTCTGAAATGTTAAGTATCTCATACCAATTTACCTTCGAAACGAATCAACGAGCCGTAGAAAGATCCCTTTGTCTCAATAATTCCAGCCAGCGGACTGGATTTGAAATAAGGCATCAGCTGCCAAGGTACGAGGCTTGTTTGAACATAAAAGCAAAATAGTCTAGT